ACTTGACTCGGACTCCAGTGGTAAAGACTCCAGACTTGACTCGGACTCCAGTGGTAAGGATTCCAGACTTGACTCGGACTCCAGTGGTAAAGACTCCAGACTTGACTCGGACTCCAGTGGTGAAGACTCCAGACTTGACTCGGACTCCAGTGGTAAAGATTCCAGACTTGACTCGGACTCCAGTGGTAAAGACTCCAGACTTGACTCGGACTCCAGTGGTGAAGACTCCAGACTTGATTCGGACTCCAGTGATGAAGACTCCAGACTTGACTCGGACTCCAGTGGTAAAGACTCCAGACTTGACTCGGACTCCAGTGGTGAAGACTCCAGACTTGATTCGGACTCCAGTGATGAAGACTCCAGACTTGACTCGGACTCCAGTGGTAAAGACTCCAGACTTGACTCGGACTCCAGTGGTAAAGACTCCAGACTTGACTCGGACTCCAGTGGTGAAGACTCCAGACTTGATTCGGACTCCAGTGATGAAGACTCCAGACTTGACTCGGACTCCAGTGGTAAAGATTCCAGACTTGTCTCGGACTCCTGTGGTAAAGACTTCAGACTTGACCCGGACTCCAGTGGTAAAGACTCCAGACTTGGTAAAGTCCAGTGGTCAAGAGTCCAGACTTGACTCGGACTCCAGTGGTAAAGACTCCAGACTTGACCCGGACTCCAGTGGTAAAGACTCCAGACTTGGTAAAGTCCAGTGGTCAAGAGTCCAGACTTGACTCGGACTGCAGTGGTAAAGACTCCAGACTTGACTCGGACTCCAGTGGTGAAGACTCCAGACTTGACTCGGACTCCAGTGGTGAAGATTCCAAACTTGACTCGGACTCCAGTGGTAAAGATTCCAGACTTGACTCGGACTCCAGTGGTAAAGATTCCAGACTTGTCTCGGACTCGAGTGGTAAAGACTCCAGACTTGACTCGGACTCCAGTGGTAAAGATTCCAGACTTGACTCGGACTCCAGTGGTAAAGATTCCAGACTTGTCTCGGACTCCAGTGGTAAAGATTCCAGACTTGTCTCGGACTCCAGTGGTAAAGACTACGGACTTGACTCGGACTCCAGTGGTAAAGATTCCAGACTTGACTCGGACTCCAGTGGTAAAGACTCCAGACTTGACTCGGACTCCAGTGGTAAAGATTCCAGACTTGACTCGGACTCCAGTGGTAAAGATTCCAGACTTGTCTCGGACTCCAGTGGTAAAGACTCCAGACTTGACTCGGACTCCAGTGGTAAAGATTCCAGACTTGACTCGGACTCCAGTGGTAAAGACTCCAGACTTGACTCGGACTCCAGTGGTAAAGATTCCAGACTTGACTCGGACTCCAGTGGTAAAGATTACAGATTTGTCTCGGACTCCAGTGGTAAAGATTCCAGACTTGTCTCAGACTCCAGTGATGAAGACTCCAGACTTGACGCAGACTCCAGTGGTAACGATTCCAGACTCCACTCGGACTCCAGTGGTCAAGAGTCCAGACTTGACTCGGACTCCAGTGGTAAAGATTCCAGACTTGATTCGGACTCCAGTGATGAAGACTCCAGACTTGACTCGGACTCCAGTGGTGAAGACTCCAGACTTGATTCGGACTCCAGTGATGAAGACTCCAGACTTGACTCGGACTCCAGTGGTGAAGACTCCAGACTTGACTCGGACTCCAGTGGTAAAGATTCCAGACTTGACTCGGACTCCAGTGGTAAAGATTCCAGACTTGACTCGGACTCCAGTGGTAAGGATTCCAGACTTGATTTGGACTCCAGTGATGAAGACTCCAGACTTGATTCGGACTCCAGTGATGAAGACTCCAGACTTGACTCGGACTCCAGTGGTGAAGACTCCAGACTTGACTCGGACTCCAGTGGTAAAGATTCCAGACTTGACTCGGACTCCAGTGGTAAAGATTCCAGACTTGTCTCGGACTCCAGTGGTAAAGACTCCAGACTTGACTCGGACTCCAGTGGTAAAGATTCCAGACTTGATTCGGACTCCAGTGGTAACAATTCCAGACTTGACTCGGACTCCATTGGTCAAGAGTCCAGACTTGACTCGGACTCCAGTGGTAAAGATTCCAGACTTGATTCGGACTCCAGTGGTGAAGACTCCAGACTTGATTCGGACTCCAGTGATGAAGACTCCAGACTTGACTCGGACTCCAGTGGTGAAGACTCCAGACTTGACTCGGACTCCAATGGTAAAGATTCCAGACTTGACTCGGACTCCAGTGGTAAAGATTCCAGACTTGATTCGGACTCCAGTGGTGAAGACTCCAGACTTGATTCGGACTCCAGTGATGAAGACTCCAGACTTGACTCGGACTCCAGTGGTGAAGACTCCAGACTTGACTCGGACTCCAATGGTAAAGATTCCAGACTTGACCCGGACTCCAGTGGTAAAGATTCCAGACTTGATTTGTACTCCAGTGATGAAGACTCCAGACTCGACTCGGACTCCAGTGGTGAAGACTCCAGACTTGATTCGGACTCCAGTGATGAAGACTCCAGACTTGACTCGGACTCCAGTGGTAAAGACTCCAGACTTGACTCGGACTCCAGTGATGAAGACTCCAGACTTGACTCGGACTCCAGTGGTGAAGATTCCAGACTTGATTTGTACTCCAGTGATGAAGACTCCAGACTTGATTTGTACTCCAGTGATGAAGACTCCAGACTTGACTCGGACTCCAGTGGTGAAGACTCCAGACTTGATTCGGACTCCAGTGATGAAGACTCCAGACTTGACTCGGACTCCAGTGGTGAAGACTCCAGACTTGACTCGGACTCCAGTGGTAAAGATTCCAGACTTGACTCGGACTCCAGTGGTAAAGACTCCAGACTTGACTCGGACTCCAGTGGTAAAGATTCCAGACTTGATTCGGACTCCAGTGATGAAGACTCCAGACTTGATTCCGACTCCAGTGGTAAAGACTCCAGACTTGACTCGGACTCCAGTGGTAAAGATTCCAGACTTGACTCGGACTCCAGTGATGAAGACTCCAGACTTGACTTGGACTCCAGTGATGAAGACTCCAGACTTGACTCGGACTCCAGTGGTAAAGACTCCAGACTTGACTCGGACTCCAGTGGTAAAGACTCCAGACTTGACTCGGACTCCAGTGGTAAAGATTCCAGACTTGACTCGGACTCCAGTGATGAAGACTCCAGACTTGACTTGGACTACAGTGATAAACACTTCAGACTTGAAGGACTCCAGTGATGAAGACTCCAGACTTGACTCGGACTCCAGTGATAAACACTTCAGACTTGAAGGACTCCAGTGATGAAGACTCCAGACTTGACTTGGACTACAGTGATAAACACTTCAGACTTGAAGGACTCCAGTGATGAAGACTCCAGACTTGACTCGGACTCCAGTGGTAAAGACTCCAGACTTGACTCGGACTCCAGTGGTAAAGATTCCAGACTTGATTCGGACTCCAGTGATGAAGACTCCAGACTTGATTCCGACTCCAGTGGTAAAGACTCCAGACTTGACTCGGACTCCAGTGGTAAAGATTCCAGACTTGACTCGGACTCCAGTGATGAAGACTCCAGACTTGACTTGGACTCCAGTGATGAAGACTCCAGACTTGACTCGGACTCCAGTGGTAAAGACTCCAGACTTGACTCGGACTCCAGTGGTAAAGACTCCAGACTTGACTCGGACTCCAGTGGTAAAGATTCCAGACTTGACTCGGACTCCAGTGATGAAGACTCCAGACTTGACTTGGACTACAGTGATAAACACTTCAGACTTGAAGGACTCCAGTGATAAACACTTCAGACTTGAAGGACTCCAGTGGTAAAGACTCCAGTCTTGACTCGGACTCCAGTGACTCGGACTTGACCTTAAGAGAGGCCATAAACAGAGGCCCGCAAACCTCAATGAACCGAAGCTATGTTATAAAGAAGAGCTGGCCAAAATTCCTCCAAAAGGATGCGAGAGATTGATACAGTCATACACCCATTATTCACTTCTTTGGTTTCAGTTTTCAGACAAGTGCATCCTGTATTTTTGGTTTTGGCCCAGAATTTTAATTTCAGTGCTTAAACACTTACTAATATATTTCACATTATTCAATAATGAACATAAAACAGGGGCTTGTCAAATGCTTTGCTTGGTCCTAAAGTCTTCATTTTGCGTAGCTGGCTACAAAACAAAAAAGGTGTGCTAGAAACAGCTCATTCATGTTTCCGTCTCCCTTTGCTTCACACTCCTGCCCAGTCTGGATGAGATCGTCAACCCAATTGGCTTTATGCCCAGCTGCACTACTTCCTGAACTTCAGCCAGCTCCTTGTTTCCTGTCTGCCATTATTGGCCAAATTGATTAATTCAGGTGTGTCTGATTATTGTTGCCATGACTACTGAGGTCAAACACACCTGAATTAATCAATTTGACCAATAATGGCAGACAGTAAGCTGGCCGAAGTTCAGGAAGTAGTGCAGCTGGGCATAAAGCCCATTAACACTTTCCCCAGGCACTCAACGAAACTGCCTCCGGATAACCAACCACAGAGAGGTTTATGACGTCGGCTTAAAGCCTCCTGCTAACTGACAGTTTCCTCTGTCAACTTCTCAGACGGATAGAAGACTTTAAGCTGATATGGTTTTGGGTACCAGATCAAATACAGGTTTATTAACTGATTTTGGGCATCAGACAATACTCTGCTGACAGTTTTGGATATCAGACAAAACATAGACTGGATACAATATTCCTGGTGTGGAAATTCATTTTAACATTTTTGATCAGCAGGATATTGGCACAATCAATCAGAACTTTTTACAAAATTATTTTTTTGTCTTATTCAGAAGAAGGCATGAGAGCGAGTAAATGATTTGCCTTCACAGAAACTCCTGAAGACTCTGCATCAGGTATATTACAGTGAAAGGGCTGTACAATTCTGTGCTGTCAAAGTTTAGAGTTATGGATGTTAAACTGGCATTATGATTTGCACCACAGACCAGAGAGACGTATCCGTTACGGAGGAAATAATAATTACCTTGATAGCCGGTCCAGCTGGTGGAGCAGCAGGTTTGGTCTCAGTTTTGGGTTCAGAGAGAGACTTCATGGCCACCGCTGCATGCCGTACAATACACTGATGACCGCAGTACACCGACCCCAGCAGAGCGTCGTTACTGCAGCCTGGGCCCATGCATGTAGGAGAAGCAGACTCCTCCTTCATCTCCTCCACCTTCACTTCCGGCTCCATCACCTCCTCCTTCTCCTCCTCCTGCTCCATCACCTCCTCCTTCTCCTTCTCCATCACCTCCTCCAGGGGCTGCTCGTCCCCCACCTGAGACACAACACACCGATTAGATTAAGTCATTTCACGGGATCCCGGGGACTTTTGACAGCTACAGGCCTCTTGTTAAAACTACAGGAAGAGCTTTCACATGTTTGCATTCCCAGTCGGATCAACAGAGGGGTGGGGCAGGGCTGTTGAAATCTTTTACATTTGTTGTTACATTACAGTGGCCAAGTAATGATTCATTGATGATCCATTTGTCCACTACTAGCTGAACAGCAGCACTGATGGACAGACGACTCCTCCATAGGACAGAGTGATGAAGCAGGAGGAGCTGGATTATATAGTCTGAGTGATATCAATCCACAATATGACCTGTAATGCAGTCTGAATCATAATCATACACACACACACACACACAGAGAGAGAGAGATTACCGGCTGTTGTTGTGAGCAGGGGGCACAGGTGAACTCTTCGTTGTTGCCCTGCAGGAGACGAGCCTCTGCGCTGCTCACACACTCCACGTGACGCCACTCTCGGGACGAGCCACAGCCGAGCATCACCCTGACACACACACACACACACACAAACAGTTTGTAGGGCTGGGTAATAAATATCGATTTCTCGATATTAATCGTTTCTCATTTTTACAAACCGATATCGATTCTTAAATCTCAAGAATCGATTAGTCATCCTGTTTCATTTGAATGAATGGGACATTGTATCGCATTAGCTAATATTGTATTTTTATTAGCTAATACTGCACCCACTTCTCAAGTAAACATGTTTTGTGGGGGAAAAAAAAGGTTTAATTTCCCACAAGCTTCCTGGAATAATGCAGCGTTTGCTTGAATACTGGCGGAGGAACATGGATTTGGTATTTAGATGAAGCTGGTAAACTCATCTGCACTCTTACTCAAGCCTCTGCTCTCCACTGAACACTATAGACCTGTTACAGTGAGTGTGTATTACACATCTTAAAAATAAAATACTAAATCTGGAAAAGAGCATTTAGTACATCTGACCTAACATCCTGTTGGCATAGCTATGAAAGACGTTGGGGTTGAGCTTTTTAAAATCTAACAATGTTTTCAGGTGGCTACAGGTATAAACAATTTTAATTTAAGACTTTTTAATACCACTTCTAAATTAAATTTAAGACCAAACTTACGATGGAAATATAAATTAAAAATGAAAATATACAGTAATATTTCCAAGTAAACACACTGTCTGTTCAAAATGGTAAAATAACCAATTGTCAATTGCGTACATGCGGTCGCCTGTGGTGGAGTGAAAAGAAATATAGAAGGCGTTTTTATAAATGTCTTAAGCCTTGTATGTTTTAAATAATAAAGTATATTGATAAAGGCTTAAATTTAGTTTTATTAAAGGCAGAGAACCAGTTTATTTATAGTGTACTGATAATGGTTTCATATAATTAGTTTATTAATTAAACTAATAAAAAGATAAAAAGACTTTGAGATATGTTTGGTTATTGTGCCTTTTAATTTAATAAATTAAAATTAATTTGCTATATTTCAGATCAATATTTATTTTCCTTAATTTTAATTAACCCTAACTTTATTCTCATCATAAGAATTATAAATAATTGATTTCCGTATAAAATAATACTACAAGCAGAATCGTACCCTTACGTAGAAAATATTCGACCTGGCTGGCAGAACGATGCATCTTTGCGGTGACATGACAAACATATTTAAGACCTATCCAATCTGAATTTAAGACAATTTAATATTAAGGCCTTATTTTTAGGAAAATTGATTTAAGACTTTTTAACGACCCGCGGCCACCCTGGTTTTACACAGCTCTCTGGAATACTGGATTCTGATTGGTCAGTCCCAGCATCCGGGTAACTGAAACCGCTGCTACGTAAAGCTGTTTCTCACACACCACTCACTCGCATAGACACAACCGGTGCCGTCTGGAGTCACTGTCGTGTTGCACAATGAAATGAAAGTACAGAGTCAGAGCTCACCTGTCACACACAGCGTCCGGACCTGTGCTCTCGCTGCGGGATTCAGGGATCTGGACCTCTCCTCCAGCCTGTTCCTCAGAGTCCGCCTCCACTCTCTCAGCAGGGACTGGAGAACACACCTGTCCCGCTCCTGAATCCCCATCTGAATCACACACCTGTCCTGCTCCAGAATCACACACCTGTTCTGCTCCTGAATCCCTATCTGAAGAGCAGACCTGTCCCAATCCTGAAGAGTACACCTGTCCCGCTCCTGAATCCTCATCTGAAGAGCACACCTGTCCCGCTCCTGATGTGAGGACACCTGTGACATCTGTCCAGCTCCCATCCTCCTGTCCCATCAGGACTGGCGTCCCTACACCCCCGTCTCCCTGCTCCTGCATCCGCCGGGCCACGGCCCGCTTGCGGATCTCCTGCAGATTGAGATCATCGCTGTCTTCGGCTCGATCCGACGAGACTCCTGCGCTGACGCGCTCCTCGTCCGGGTTCAGCTCCGCCGGGACACCCCTCAGCCCTTCCTCATCCTCCTCTTCATCAGCGGTGTGTGTGAGCGCTCGTCCTCGCACCCCGCGGCCACGTTTGCAGGCCGGAGCGCTCCCGCCAGCCTCAGATGCGCGTTTGGCCCGGCCACGCCCCCTGCCCCGCCCCCGACCCCTGGGTCGACCCCGGGACCGCGGGGCGGGGGGGCTGCTGTCCGACGAGGCCACGGCCTCCATGAACTCGCGGCGGGCGATGGTGCTCCGCCGGAAACCCCAGGTCTTGGCCTCAGCGCTGGAGCCGTCCTCCATCTGACACATAGCAGAAAACACACATCAGGATCCACTTCAACACAGCTCACTGCTTACTGTGGTTCAGCAACACTAAAGCCGCTGCTTTGCTCTAAAACAGGGACTGGCTAAAGAGAATTACAATGCATTTTCTGTTTAGTTTAGTTTGGTTCACTTTCACACGGCAACATTTCAAAGTGTGTTCAAAACAATGTGTTTCATCAAGTCACATGGCGGTAAAACTGATCTCTCATTGGTCAGTTCAACTGTTTACGTTCCTCCTAGCATCGCATGTCTGTCGTTACACAAACACTTCAGTTACACAAGTGTTTATAAGCCTTCATTCCCGAGAGAGAGAGCGAGAAACAGACAGAGAGAGAGAGAGAGAGAGAGAGAGAGAGAGAGAGAGAGAGAGGTTCATCACGACAGCATGTTTAATGCACCTGTTAGTGAGATGAGGAGGCTGTAGTGACTGCTGAGGTCAAAAACACCTCGTTCAGGACCCGGTGTGGATCATATAATCCTAAACGAACCGGTTCAGACACTCTAGTGTCTCAAGCTAAAACATTAGCACTGGGTCTCAGTCACAAGCCACTGATAGAAAAAAATGCAGTCAAACTCAGGAATTAACGGATCAAACTCACTTTCATTTGCTAGACAATTAAAACCCATCATTAAACTCCCGAATGATGTGACCAGGAGTCAGCCAGCACACCGCAGACAGAGAGAGAGAGAGAGAGAGAGAGTAACTGAACTGAAGTCTATGGCTGTTACTAAAGCTCCATCTCTCCGGCGCGAGCGAGCGTTGATCTGTGAACACAATGAAATATGATAAACTCACGCTTCACCGCAGGCTCACTCCGCACGGTCCGCGTTTACATGCACACTTCGGTTTGAACTAAACGTATGATTGATTAGTGTTGTAAACTGCACTCAAACAAATAAACACGCAGTGTGAGTGTTCTTCCATTTTGTCCGTGAGAGGGGCGTGACGCACTGCATGACGAGGAGAGGCGCCAAGCGACGCGACGCCGGAAACCAACAGCGACGCTGGCGGGCCGGAGGAAGAACAGCAGGCGCGATCGCGTCTCAAACGATGAAGCAAACACGATTGGAAATGCAACGCAAATTCACAATTTATATTTATTATTTTTTAGCATCTAGTCATTATTTGTAATAAACCCTTTAAAAGTAGTTATATTTTGAATTATGTTTTTTTAAACATATGCGCTGTTTGTCTCTTAACCAACCTCTGCATAAAACAGTCATTTTTAAAGGTGCCATATGTAATAATTGAGGTAAATATATCCAAAAAATGAGCTACACACATAAAAAGAATGAGAAGAAATAAATGCAATGATGTAATTAAAAAACGGTCAAGTTATCCACAAGTTTCCTACGCCCCATGAGGCCTTGCGTCAAAAGTGGGCGCGACTTCCGGTTGGAAGTAAACAAAGCACGATTTGACATGCTTGACACTCGTTCATTCAACGGTTGACAGTCATTCAAGTTATAGCGATCCAAACTAGCTAACGATGTGGGAACACAACCTCAACGAAATTAAAAAAGGTGAAATAACAGTACCTTTACCCTCCACAGTAGTTGATAGGGAGTATTATAATAACATTATTAATAATCAATACTCATCAAGGCATGGTGACAGACAGTTGTGCGAGCTGACAAACAATTAAAATAAAAAATACACACTTAATCATTGTGCTTTGGAGTTTATTCAAAATTATAAATGAATGTGCTACTTGAATACATTAACTGGCACATTTGGTATTCTGTCAACACAGGCTTTGATCCTGAGTTTAGGCGCAACATCAGTAGAGAACAGCCAAACACATGCTGATAAAAGTTTATAGAATATTAAGAATTTAAACAAATGTACACAGGAAGATTCGTCGTCTTTTGGGAGGTGATGGAAACTTCAGTCGTTGGCAGGATCACTCTGATTTCGTTTTCAGCTTATGTTCAAAACAATCACGTTTAAGCCACTGAACTAGTTTAGTCAGGTTATACATACAACCGCGAACAGCACATGTTGTCCATGAGCTCAGTAACGACATCTCTCATAAAGATTTGCGTCTTTAAATAGTAAAATAATTCTCAGAAAAACAGCTAGCCTCTTCGCTAACTAACACACAAAATACCATTGGAATGCTACTTCCGCCGCCTCACCGGAAGTTTCACCCACTTTATTTTTTACAGGAGCGCCCCTCGGAAACTTGTGGATAGTGCTGCCGAGATATAAACCTAAATTAGCATGCTAAATTACTAGCCCCGGCCCGGCAGGTGTGGTAATACTAGTTTCGGCCATGGGAGGCAGTATGCGGGCGGGCAACATTACCACCAGCCAAACTGCAGTACACGAGTAACTCTCATATCTGTCACTCCTCATGCCTCCGTCTCCTTTTCTCTCGCCTCGTCTATCCGTACCTCAGGTGCCATGGCCAGGGTATGTGGCGAGCAGAGGGCCGTGGGAGAACGGCACGAGGCCGGTTGCGTGATTAATAATGAGCGACATCTGCGCAATGCTCCGGTCTCGTATCTCTCACGGATAAGTGTAAGCATAAAGGGGGTGCGACGACAGTGAAGATGGAGAGAGGATCAGGCCTGAGTTTATGTTGTGTTCTGTTCCTGTTTTGTGTGGCCAGCAGTCGTCCGAGCTGGCTTGTACTTTCAATTTTGTATTTTTTTATTTTTTTTATTAAAGTCTTTAAATGTTAAAGTCTTCTTCCCATAACATTTTAATCTTGTTACAGACAGAATTAAACCGGAACCAGGAAATTAAACTATGGAAAAGGTTAATTTAACTATAAAAAGAACCATCAGCTTTATTCTTTATTCTTTACCTCATTAAGAGGTGTCTACTGCTTATTAAACCTCTGGTCAAAATGTGTGGTACTTGCATCTCCTTTTTAGTGGAAGCAGTGTGTGACGTCTTTGAAGAAGATCTCCTTGGTCCCGTGAGTTGATGGTTGGAGTTGCGATGGAGTTCTTCTGCACTGAGTGAAGCGGTTGTCCCCAACTCCTGGTGTTGTCCTTGACTCTGCTGTGGTTGAGAGTCCTCTTGAATGGCTGGTTGTAAGCCTGGTGCATTGGGAGAGGTGTTAGAGCGTGGTCACATGACCCTGCTCCTGCACAGGTGTTTCCCAGGGTTGATGCAGGGAGAACAGAGATATGTGGGCGGTAAAGCATCCCTCATCTCTATTAACCTCACTCCCCAACTACTGTTGCGTCCGGGAACAGTAATATATCCTCTTTGGATGTGTGTTGGCTTCGATGTTCAAGAATACTGACAAGCAGAGGTAGATCGCTTGGGTGCATCCCTGTAAGTAATAGCATACTATAGTTTTAACGCAGGAGTTAAGAGCTAGCTATAGCAGGTCTATGGTGAACTGCGTTTACTCAAGTTGGGGTATGATCTGCTCTTCGCAGTGATATTGGGCTAAGTAACTAGGTCCTAATTTCCTCAGTTTGGGGTATAGAGCCTGGTGGACGAGAGTTACTGGGCAAACTACAATACCTTGGCAAAACTTCAGCCTCCCTTTCCTCAACCCCCTTGGTTGGGTGGCAATACTGAAGATTGTAGCTTGGGAATTATGCAGTTAGACGACATGTGGCAAGATAACCAATGGCGGAGTCAGGGTTAGGGTTAGGGCACCTTAGAGGTAAGGTAAGGTGCATGTTTTCTAAAAAAAAGTCGTGTTTTTTTTCCACTTTTTTCCCCAAATACATGCAAATATTATGCAAAAAAAAAAAAAAAATTCCAAACAAAAACTGTTCAAACAGAAAATAAATAGGCATTAAGTTGTCAGGCGATGTCTCTCAAGAAGACCCTGCACACATTACCACCCATCAATACTATGTCAGTTCTTTGTCTCGGCACAGCACACTGCAGCACATGTTTCTGGAAGGACTGACCTTTGGGTCACATCACCATACAGCTTTGTGTCGTACTGGCGTCTCCAGTTTGTTTGGGTAAAGGAAACTTTGCCACAATTGTGAGGTTTAAATGACACTATGACTTCCGGGTCAATAGGCAGTGACCCGGAGTTTGAGTTATTAACTTTTGCTGGTAATATGACTTGTGGTTGCCAATTGTTGGCTGGAACTATGGAAATAATATTCTGTAATTATCTAACTTTCCAGAGGTAGCATTTCAGCTGCTTTTAAGCATTTATGGCCTTTCCATCTGAGCCACCCCTGTATTGTAATCTCGTGTTGGTGTGTGTGCCAGTTCCCGGGGTGCCTTTAGGCCTATAGAGCCTGGTATCTACAGTCTCTGGGGGAGCGTGGGGTGAGAGGGCATATGTCTGTCCATGCTCTAGGGCCAGTTGTTCAAAGGTAAGCTGATCGGATTTTGGTTATCGGATTGGATCAAATCTTGAAAATGGGTTGTTGAAAAGGGAAAGAAGATCCTTGGGAATCCAATCCTAGTTTTAATCTGGATCAAACATTCAGTTTGTGTTGTTCAAAACTTGTCAGTGGGATTTGAATAACTTTGATCCAAAAAAACAGGATTATCCTGATCCCAACAGGGGGTAGGATTTCATGGTGGATTTCAGGAAGAAAATGTAGAAAAACTTTAAAATTGGTCAAATAATACATTTGTATCATTTAGTGTATATACTTTTATTTATATTTTGCACTTGACTTGTGTAACCATTGTAACAGTGATAAAGTAGACATAGGCTATAACATTAAGCTATTCAGTGTAGTAAAGTAAAAAAAACAAAATATTATCTTGTCCCCATTTGTGTTTGGTTGCAAAATAAGAAACACTTACAGTGACCCCATGTTGGCTCTTCTACCTGTTCTTTCCATAGCTGGTAGCCCACATTGTGATATGTTGTCCCATTTAGAGCACTGGCAATCTGGATTTGGTAATCTTGAAAACTGTGTATCTGGATCAGGGTGATCCAGTCCAATGTTGCTTTGAAAAACCGGCATAAAAGTAAGACGGATTACCTGATCCTGGATAGGAAAAGATGGGATTTCCAAATCCGGATCATTTTGATCCAGATTAAATGTTTTGAACAACTGGCCCCTAAGTATAGTGACTTGTGTAAAGGTCAATGTCAAAACAGCTGTAAAAGTTTAATTGTTTTGTTTTTAATTTACTTTATTTACTAAATAGTGTTGTTATTTTTTATTCACTTCTTGTTATTTTTAATTGCCTTGCTTTCACTGGCCTTAAGTGGGATGAATAAAGATCCCATCTGTTCAAACTCTTCGACTTCTCTTGAGTGCTTACATCTGCTCACGATGACTCATAATAACCACTATAGCTTTTTTGCAAGTCATATAAGATGCTCCCTTGGAGTTGACGAATGCTTGACTCTGGCTCTGAGTAATTTAGAGCTATTCCCACAATGTTTGTGCACATTCACAGCTTAGTGAGGCAGACATTGATTCAACATGGTGTAGTGGGTTTTGGTTCCCCGTAGCTTCAACATGACGTGCAATACAGGCGCCATTTTATCCTCACGGACGTTCAGCTTGTGTCGACTGTCGTCCGGCAGTGATTATTGGCGTGTGGTTGAAACATGTCTTTAGATCCAGGCTGAAGCTGCTGAAAAACTGAAAGGTCAGGGCCCGTATCCCTAAAGATTCGGAAAATCCTCTCAGAGAGCTCCTAACTTAACCTAAAAACTCCTTTCCAGGACTTTTAGCTTAGAAGTGATTCCAGAACATTTTTAATGAACTCTGAGCAAGGAATGGACGGAGAATCCTATCTTAGTGAGGAGGTGTGGTTGACCCCGTTGCTAGGTATGAGTCATCATTTCAAAAGCCGTGATTGGTTGATCCTACAAGTTTGATGAAAATGAACTTTTGGTGGTAATGAGCAAAGGATGTACCCTCAAATCAATAAACATAATTATACACTCTAGTCTCATGCAGACTGTAATTGTAAATATTTCACATTCAAGAAAATATCTGGAAAATGAAAAGTAAGCTGTAGGGGTTATAGCCTAACATTAGAATCTGAAAACTTAAGCTCATTACACCCTGTTCAAATAATGATTCATGTCTTATTTGCTCATATTAATATCCTAGCTGGCATATTTTGTACTTTCACTCCCATATGGACCCCATTGAAAACAAGATGGCCTATCTCACGGGAATGTCCTTAATGAAGTAGAAATTGCAACGTTACAACTCAGTGTGGTCTTAACGAGGGTAACACGGGCCCTGACCTATAAAGATGTGTCTGATTATTCCAAAACAAAACTGCGGTTCACAAGCAGTGTGTGTGACTACAGAGTCTCAAAGACATGACGGCTCCGTTTCCGGCGTCCTCTTCTTCCAATCGGTCTACTTGGGAGTCACTGTGACAGGACGCTTATTTTCTTAGTGTTTTGATGCAAAGTTGATGGTGTTAAAAAATACAGCATTCTAACCAGTCTAATTATCCCACTGCATTTACAAAACAAATGCACAAGATATTTTTTTTAACTGTGTTTGTTTTGCAGTGACAACATTGTAATGTCTGTGTAAAACCCTTATTGAGTTGCTGGTCTATCTACTGATCTTGCTTTCATGCTGCAAACAAAGCGAGAAACTTTTTAACCTCACATTTTTATTTAACATTGAATTTTTTTTTTTTCAAAATTAGGCAAGGCCACTATAGAGCAATGGTGGCACTCCTTATTTCAAGGTAACATGTGTCATGATGTGTCTATAGCTTGAACTAAAGTATGCTGTTTTCATAAAGGAAGCTGATTTGCATTCTTCTAAATGTCTAACTCAGATGAGGCTTAAGCCCAGATATCACCGCAGTGAATTTAATATAACGTACACCTACACTATGACTCGTTTCACGGGATTCGTACCTGAGGTCATTAGATAATATTGTGCAGGGAGCCACATGAAAACATCTGTATTAGTCTATGAGTGAACATTATTAAAAGTGCTTGCTGTTTTATTGCCTCAAGTGTTTATTTCTGCTGGACACACGGCCGTGATATGTATATATATATATATGAAGAGTTCAGATGCAAAAGCCTCTAAATGCCGTTTGAAATTTTCTTCTTTAATGATGATTTTTGTCAAGCTTGTATATTTAAGTTCAGTAATTTCACTTAAATAACAATTAATAGGTAATTATCGTTGCCATTTAAGTGAAATTACTGAACTTAAATATACAAGTTTAATAAAAATCATCATTAAAGAAGAAAATTTCAAATGGCATTTAGAGGCTTTTGCATCTGAACTCTTCATATATATATATATATAGAGAGAGAGAGAGAGAGAGAGAGAGAGAGAGAGAGTATTGAAACAAACACTGGTGATATGCTTTTCTACAGTGGTAAACACCACAGTTTAATGCAAATAAAAGTTATATTGAGGAAGAAACGCTCCTCAAATGAGCTTAAACTTTTACATTGAAGAAATAAAGATTACACAAGAGGAGACGGTAAAACGCTGGTGGCCAAGCATGAGGTGTAGAAACACATGACTGGGACACATATGGCATAGAAAACTGAACTCAAACCCCCCCCACTCCATCCATACAAATACTTTCATCTTCTAGGGAGATATTTGGTTCCACTTTAGTCTACATTTACATGAAATAAAAATATTTCATCATTTAACAATAGATGGACAATTACTTGAGTTTCACAAGCTGAATCCCTTACGAGATCCTAGAGTAAAAGCCAAAAAAAAAAAAAAAAGCAGCTACACAGGAATACGTCCCAGACTTGAGATGTTTAATAAATCTGCATAGTAATCTGACATTACATGCAGGAAGCCACACTTCTTCCCTATCCAAACGCTGCATAATAACTAAAACCGTCTGAAAGCAAATAAAGCATCATATCAAATGTGAAGGCTGAAGGCAATGACAAGGGAAGATGGAGAAACACAGGCACTGAGATGCTGCTGTGCGTCATTAAAAGAGTTGAGAAGTGCCGTGAGCGGCTCGAAACACCAGCGTTTGCTGAACGACCACGTCACGATGATGAACAAATGCTGAAATGGGCTTGTTTTCCACATCTATTTGTCTTTATCAGATTCTGTCATGTCCTCTTTCGGTAACGCCTCCTCTGGCGAAGACTCTTCATACCTGCAGGAGACACGAGAGTCATGTTAATACAGGAGGATGAAGAAGAGGGCAGAGCTGGGCTGATTATTAATGTTAATAAATGATCATCAGCTGTAGTGGACATGAGTGACAGATGTGAGCCCACACCACTAGAAACACACAGACACAAGTGCTAGGACTGAAACGCTAGGAACTACAGGTAAACGAGTTACTACACAGCAAACACAGAGGGCTGCTGGGATATATGACATTACCCCGACTAAAGCATGATCCTCCACAGCTTTAAAGTGTGTATGTCGGGTTAATTTTGTTTTTAGATATATTAAATAAGGTTCAGATGTCACAGCCGTACAAGTTTGAGCCTCCCCGGCGTGAGACAGATGAGGAGAAATGTAAATAATTCCTATCGAATAAACAGATATCTGCTGTGAACAGACCCGGGGAGAGATGGTCGGGTGTCTTGGTAAGTCAGTTATAGGCATACCTTAGAGGTGGACCCGTACATGTATTCGTATTGAACCGAAACGGTACGGGCGTCACGGTTCTGTGCATGAGTATACACAGAGAATACACGGTATAAAAATAAATAAAACTGGCGTGCAAATTAATTAATGCGGAACTACTGTTAAATACGCGAGTTATTTAGGGACACCAAATCGCCTTAGCTCTGAAACTCTGTGGATATAATGAACAGGCTGTGAGTGAGTGAGTGAGTGAGTGAGTATCGAACAGTGAAAACAAAAACTGGAAGAAATGGGCGCTGCAAATGAAGTCTTGTATAGCGAGCTGCACTGAAGTCAGTGGCGCATTTGGTCCGAACAAAGTTGACCCAGGCACGGATCCACAGACCTGCTTTTTAGGGAAAAAGTGGGCCGGTTTTAACAGTGTTTTTGCACCCAACACAAACGCAGTAATTCACCATTGTGAAAATTAGCCTGCGTATACCCAACTAACTACCTAACTTAAATAACTAACTAAATAAATAAATGTCCTAATTATTAATTCTCTCACTCATGCAATTTTCAACACCGCTCACAAACTCACTTTCTCAGTCCCTCTTACGGCATCAAGAGATTTGTTTGGGGGGAGGAGCAGTTTTAAGTGAGTACTGAAAATAACGAACTTTTTCATCTTCTATTATGCCTTTAGGCATCAAAAAAACATACAAAACAATACATAAACTTGTCAAACGTGTATTTTCCCCTAACTATTTTGTGCTAATCATAATTACAAATTTAACCTGACATACACTTTAAGTTGTGTCTTTGTTATATCCTCCAGAGACCCAGAAAAACAAAGTTTTGTGAATTTAGTTTTCATTTCTTTCGTGTCTTTACATTGTTTAGTTACAATTAAAAAAAAAAAATCAGGACTCAATTTATTTTTTAAAGACATGAATAAATATAAATAAATATATAAAGACATGAATAAACACTTTTTTTAAAATCACCAATCAATTTTTAGGTTTCAGGATTTTATATACCAAACTTTGTATAAAGATTATTGTCAACTATGTTCTGAAAGATATAACAGAATGATTTGATATACCATTTTGCTTTATGCAATACGTGTGGGCAAAATGGTCATAAGTGGGTTTCCCCATTTTATACAATGTATCTATATATTGAATCTAATTAGCATTTTAATGTGTTCCAGGGGCAAAATGTAATGAAAGAAGAAGAGTAATAATGGGCAAGATTTTCATAATAATATCTAACTTTTTATAGGAATATTGAAAGATTTCTTTCCCCATTCACTCCCAAAATGCCTGATAAACATGATCTTAGTCCTGGTCTCTCTACAGGGTACAATGTATGAAATTGATGTCTAAAAAAATAATAACTGGTTTGGAACTGGTTCTGGTTCGGTTCAGAGTTGGTTCAACTTGCAAACCTTCTCAGAACTTGTTTGTTTTTCCACTGACTAGCAGGGGCGTAGCCAGAATTTTATTTTTGGGGGGTCCCGTCTTTAAATGAGGGGGCAACATTATTTATATATACTGTATATCAAGTTGATCTTTCCGTGCTTTTTTTAAAAAAGTGTAATATTGTACTTTGAGTTTGAGCGCCTGCCATTGTCACGGCATATTAACTCTCACGCAAAGATGAAGATGACAGCGTAAGTTACGCGCAACACGTTATATAAACAAATCAAGTTTGAAAATAAGCTGCATTTTACCACGCAGCATTTTGATTGGTCAATCTATCAATCCTAATAAAACAACTTTTTTTTTTTTTTTAAGCAATCAGAAATCTGAGGGGACCGGACATGTAAATGAGGGGGCCTAGGCCCACCCAGGCCCCCTCGTGGCTACGCCACTGCTGACTAGTGAGCCCAGCGAATGCCATCGTTGCGTCACTGTGTACTAGAGATGCACGGTTGGCGGTTACAGCCGCGGACTCCGCGGATAAACCACGGATCGGCGGATGACGGGACTAAAAAAATATTTTAATTAAATTCGGGCAGGTAGCGGGCGGTTGAACTAAATTATGTGCCAAAATGCGTTTTCTATTAGGCTACAATGAAAATACTGTACAGTAGCCTATCAGATAAGGCCAGTGTGAAGAGGTTCAGTGTGTGTGGAAGGAAGAAGACAGGGTTGGGATGGGTGACTGGGACTCGCGTTTATTCAGAAAAACAAAAAGAAACGAGGTGCACAGTAGCGCATTGGCCACCATAAACAAAACACGCGATCGAACACTTGCTTCTAAGTCTCGGTTGGAGTAGCCGCGTGCGAAGTCCCAGTCCAACTCTCTCTCTTGCTCTCTCATTCCCGTTGATTCGTTCATTCTCATTGAAAATTGGTCAAAAACGTTGGTGCGGATGGATGGCGGACAGCACACCCGCACATCTCTACTGTGTACGTCGCCTTATGCCTTAGCCTTCCCAGAAATGCTTGCACCAACTCCAAGCATAACAATTACAATAACCCCGTCCCCCAGCCCCCGACGTAAGCATGTCGTGGTAAAAGAACGAGAATCGGTTCTTTAGCTGTCGAAACAAAGAGTAGGCACTGGCTCTGAACCGGCTCTCAAAATGCTTTGGTAGAAAAGGGGTAGCAGACACACGAGAGTCAGGAGTGAAGCACACAGAAGCAGCTGTGAGAGAGGCATGAGGATGAGGAGCTGAGACACACGAGAGTCAGGACTGAAATACAAAGAAGCAGCTGTGAGAGAGGCATACAGAGCTGAGACACACAAGACTCTTTCCTGTTGTGATCTGTTCCTTACAGTTCACCTAGAGACAGAACCTACGAGAGGCACCAAGGAAAGCTAAATAACAGATTGTCAATCAAGCTGTTAGCGTCATCAGATGACCCACTAGGCTACCGCCCCGTCAAAATCTTTATTTAGGCCCCACGCAAGTTGTCCCCATCGAACGGTCTGCATCAGTTAGCTGAAATTCTCCTAGACGGCATAGCCCGAAATTAGTAGTATAGCTAGTTAACCGTAGAACGAACTTGCATTGGTCTCTTTTTGTGTGCTGTGTTCCTCTCGCCCACAGTGAGCCAGTATGTTCCGGTCATCTAGTCCCACAGTCCACTGGGACAATCTCGAGACATGGCTGAGAACCATGATTCCTGCCAAAGGACGCCGGTGACTCAGAGCCCCCAAGCCAAGAGCAGTTGGATGCCGACTTGGACAAGCTGAAGGCCCACTATCCGACCCAGAGCTACAACTACAAAGGCTGGGCCAAAATCATTGGAAACCTTGCTCACATGCTTGTCGTCCCGGAACGGCTCAGCAAAAGGAGCAGCAACGGCCTGAAGCAGGATGCAGCAATGCTAAATCTTCAAGCTGAGGAGGCCTGGAGCAACCGGGCCCAAACCCAGAGTCGTCTAGACCAGCTACTCCGAGGCCGAGAACCAGACCAACGAAGAGGACGAATCAGACCCAGAGCTACAAAAGGAAGTGGAAAGACTTCAAACTGCCCAGTCTGATCTTTGTCTAGACACAGACCAAAGAGAGCAGTCAGAGAAAGAAACCAGAGAGGAACTCAAAAAACTCCGACAAGGTGAAGCTCTCCTTGCAAGAGCAGAGACTGAACTAAAAGAAAGAGGCCAACGAAAAACACTTGGAAGCAGCCCGAAATCCACAAGCTGGTTCAGCAGACACACAATCTCGAATGCAAACTTGACACTGTTCACAGAGAGCTGTTTACTGGCAGGGGTTCTCTTCCAGAGAACACCCTGACACTGGGCTTGGCCTTCATCCTGTATAGGAAGCTCATCATCATACGAACATCTACACCAAAGCTCATGAAAGCCGTGTTTTGAGGTTCCCAACGGGACCCCCAGAAAGAGGGTACCACGCCAGAGACCGCTTTGAACCTCATCAAGCCGAGTCCTCAGTCCTAATGACCACCTGCTACATGACCATCATGATTCTCCTGCCATCCGTCCATTGTGATGATTGTCGTCTGATGATGTCCACACAGACGAAAAGGGGGACTGTAGGGTATCTGGACTGTGTCAGTTGGGACTTATTCAATTATACAAAAGTAAAAAGCTTTTAACCTTTGACTCATGGCTAATGCACCAGCGAGCACCAGGAAGTCTGTTCCTGATGGCATTCATTGACACTTTCATAGTGAACGCGAGTTAAAAAAAAAAAAACCAGCGATGAGCCAGCTTCACACACACTCACACATACATAGACTCTCTATGAGATTTCCCCCACAAATGAAGTCAACACTGGCAGAACTTTTTACAAGACTGATGAATTTTATGATCCAAAAAGAATGTGCAGGGAATTTTCTCCTAATTCTTGCTGAGAAGAAATTAACCCTTTTTAATCCTATAAATATAAAACCATGTGATAAATGTTTTAACATGTATCTAATGTTCCATCTCATGACTTTCCTGTATGTTGTTGGTCTACGTTTCTTGTAAACTCTGATGGGTTAATATTTGAAAAATGACTTGCATACTATGATTAACCCAAAATCATATGTATAGCATGTGTAGTCTCTATAAACTCTAATCTTCGTCCCCCATTTGTTAATTTACATTAAATTTTTCTAACTTTACAACGCATTAGTATTATAAGAATCTTGTAGATTCTTTCCGTAAACTATCGTAAATTATATTCCTGGTATCTGAGCTAATAGGAATATTAAACAGCTTCTCATCCTCATGCCTCTCACAGATGTGTAGGGTGTGTTGACAGATGAGACACGAGATTTAGGAGTGAAGCACACAGAAGCAGCTGCGAGAGAGGCATGCGGAGCTGATACCTGAGCAGGACGACAGTAACGGGACAGAGGAATGCGGCCGCTACATGTGTGTGTGTGTGTGTGTCTGTGCCGGCAGGGGGAGCAGGAGGAGCACGGGCCGGGGCGCTGCATGGACTCAGCCAGACTCGACGGGGAGCCCGACACCGTGGGGAAGTGTGTGAGCCGAGGAGTGTGCGGCAAAACCTCCTCTGAAGACTCATAGCTGCAGGCCGGAGGACCAGACCAAAGAGAGGAGGAGGAGGAGGAGGAGAAGGAGAGGAAGGCGACATGAAGAAGAAGAAGAAGAAGGTCTGTAAGTGGCCTTATCACAGGAAGAATATTGGTCTAGGCTGCTTCCTTCTGAGACCGCTTCATAGAGACCAGGACACTGCAGCCTAAAGCGCTGGACACTAATGACACTGGACATCTATTGGTCCAACATATATTCTTTTAAAATACAGTTGTGAAGATCTCTAACACTCCTCAGACAAGCTTTACCAGCACACAACGACAGGCTTCAGGAGCGAGAGAGAAGCGTGTGTGTGTGTGTTAGGGTGAACAGAACGACCACACTACACACTGAGCCTGGACACACACACACTGAGGCAGTTACCTGAACATCTCGGTCAGTTCTCCTTTCACCAGAGCCACCAGCACGGGGAAGCCCACACACACCGGTACCAGGTAGAGCAGAGCAGGCTGGGAAACACACCAACAGCACACATTCAGTACCAGTTCACGGTCTTGGATGGACAACTATAATGCGCTTTCTTGTCATTTATGCCTTTTTTACCTGTGCGTGTTTAAAGGTGTGCATGACGAATATGGTGAGGCCCAGGCCGAAGATGTACGCCAGGAAGCTGGTGTAGAAGTATGTTCTTGTGTTCTTCTTCAAACTGAGAGAGGAGGACAAGTAGACGACAAGAGCATGACAACCAGATCTACAAGCAGCTGAAACCAGACGAAACCAAGCGAAGGGCTTTACCTGACGTCAAAGCGCAGGAGCAGAGCGATGAAGATTCCTGACACACACACACACACACACACAATCACAGTGATGAGCGTTTCACATCCACACGTGTCTGAATCAAACAAGCCTCACAAGTCTTCACACATTTACCTGGAATGACGATGTCCCCCAGTCCCAGCATGGCAAAGTTACTGGCACCCAAACCTTTCTCCAGCAGATCTTGTGGGAACACCACTGGAGGGAGCAGAGGAGTGAGGATGAGGAGGAGATCGGGAATATAGGAAATCAATCAAAATAAACCTCAAGACTTGTGATCACTGGATAAAGATTTGTAGACACTTTTATTAAGGTTAAACTCCAAAATAACATTTTATAGCTATGGGTTATGTTATAGTAGATATATGGTAATTTGAATTTTGCAGGCCTGGAAAACCTGTAAAAAAATAAAATTATACAGTAAAATTAATGCAATTACATTTTACATGGTGTTTAGCATAAAAAAGGATTAACTAGTTCCCTACTGGTTAATGCGCTCCATTTGCATCTAACGCCAATAGAGCGTCAAGTACGCGTCGATCACATCTAGTTAGAAGCTTGAATCTTCCGCTTGAATTCAAATTTATCGACTTGCGCGGAAGATGTTTGCGGCCCAATTTGCATCATTCGTGTCTTTGCATGTAATCTACTCACACAAATAATTAAATTCGCGTTTAAAACACACCATTAGGATGAAAATGAGATACTCACACTTAATCGGGGCTTCGAAGGACTTGGCAACAGTCACCATGACGTTGGTGCCAAAAACCTGAGAGCAAATGGCGAACACGGTTATTGAGACGGTCACGTATTGTATGGATCATGAACGTGTTAAACCAGGACCATCTTACCCAGAACACATCGTAAACGAACAGTCCTCCCAGCAGGATGCAGCCAGTGCTGACATTATTGAGGTGGAGCAGCTCGACCCCGTTCAGGGCAAACGCCAGGCCGAACAGGTTATTGGCCACCCAGTGCTGTCAGGAAACATGTCAGACATCTTCATTTATACAGCGCTTTTAACAATATGATGGTTTCATAGCAGCTTTACAGAGATAACTGGAGATTACAGTAACAAAGATTGTTTCGGCTTTACAGCAGCTCTAGAATAAAGTTATTGTCCAGATAAAGTTAGTTTTGATTGATTCACTTCCGTTGTAAAGATCATTAGTTATTAACTTAGGGGCCGCTCACACGACACCGCTCTAGTGCTGCGTTCACACCGGACGTGAACAGCGCTAGAGATTGGCATGGTTTTACTTCAGTTAGCCTAATAGCTGGTTTGATTTGCATTAAAAAATGATGATCTTATGGAAAGTACCCCATGCCAATCTCTCGGTGTGGTGGAAGGTGTGTGATGATGTGGGGATATTTTAATCCCAAAGGCCAAGGGAACTTTATCAGGATGCATATTATCCTGGATCCATGAAATAACTGGCTTTTAAAAATAAAAATCTGCCTGACTCTATGGGAATTTAACACAGGGGTGCCCTGACTTATGCACCCTGTATTTTAAGGAAAAACATTGATTTATTTATGATACATTATTCACTCACAAAGAAAATTGGTGTCCTTAAAGGTTGGAGTTTTCCTCATTTTTCTAATTAAGGCATTAAGATCAATATCCAAAAGATGATTTTTTATTCCTCTTTTTAGGCAACTTTAGCATGGGTGCCAACACTTATTCACATCACTGTAAGTGTTATCAGTGAATGAGGACCAAAGTTTCATAAACTTCAACATTTCTATATGTATTTTATTTAAATATACAGTATGTCTGGAGATTTGTTCTTAATGACCCTACAAGTTTGATCAAACGAAGAGTAATATTATATATATATATATATATATATATATATATATTTATTTTATTTTTTTTCCCCAATGTTTTAAATATGAGGTCAAATCAAAACACTCAGCCTGGTTAAGGTCTTTATGTTTTCCTGTGCTGAACATCACTTTTTCCCACTATTGTGTGTGCATGTCATGAGTTAGCTCTGTATGATCGACACAGACTTGAAACTCATCACACACACAGAGAATACACACGTGCCCAGCCTCATTCATTCGCCACAGTTTCGCTATAAAACACAAGCTGGTGTCCCGTACCTTCTTGAGGACGTACCAGACCCCGACCACAGCGCTCACACACAGGCAGATCAGATCCTTGGTGTCGAACTCATAGTTGAGGATCTCTGAGGAGAAAACAGGCTTCAGACGATCTGCAGAGCTTCAGCACCACACACACACACACACACACACGTGTCCGCCTCACCCTCTCGTCCGTCTCCTGAGCCCTGTGTGAACAGCAGCTGGTACTGCTTGTTTGGCACGTTCGCTGGGAAAACTCTGCACATAAAGGGACTGGGACAGCAACACCACAACAGTCAACCTCATATTAACACAGCATTACAGGTGTGTGTGTGTGTGTGTGTCATACCTCATCGTGTGAGACAGCGCTAATATTCCCAGCACGAAGAAATACATGGAGAGCAGCAGGTTAATGTACTCTTGAGAGAAAACCTGAGAGCGAAGTCAAACAAAACAGACATGGGTACCAGTCTATACAGGGAACTGGGAAAAACCTGCTTAAAGGAGTAGTTCACTTTTGAAAAAACTTTTGCTGATAATTTACTCACCCCCATGTCATCCAAGATGTCCATGTCTTTCTTTCTTCAGTCGAAAAGAAATGAAGGTTTATGATGAAAACATTCCAGGATTTTCTCCATATAATGGACTTCAATGGGGTCCAAACGGTTCAAGGTCCAAAAGACAGTTTCAGTGCAAACTGTTCAAAGGGCTTTAAACGACTCCAGACGATGAATAAGGGTCTTATCATGCGAAACGATCGCTTATTTCAAAACTTACTCCAAAAATGTAACTTTTCTAAGGACAAATGCTAGCCTTGCTCTATTCTCTGAGGCGCGTTTGTAACGTCACGTAATACGTAATTACGTTCAAAAGGTCACGGGCGACGTAGCCGGAAGTACAGAGTCAAAATCGTCCGACATCGTTGTTTTACCTTTTAAATCCTTTTTTTGTGAGCTAGTTTGCACGTTCAACCTATGCGTTCAACTTGTAAACACTGACTCTGTACTTCCGGCTACGTCGCCCGTGACCTTTTGAACGTAATTACGTATTACGTGACGTTACAAACGCGCCTCAGAGAATAGAGCAAGGCTAGCATTTGTCCTTAGAAAAGTTACATTTTTGGAGTAAGTTTTGAAATAAGCGATCGTTTCGCATGATAAGACCCTTATTCATCGTCTGGAGTCGTTTAAAGCCCTTTGAACAGTTTGCACTGAAACTGTCTTTTGGACCTTGAACCGTTTGGACCCCATTGAAGTCCATTATATGGAGAAAATCCTGGAATGTTTTCATCAAAAACCTTCATTTCTTTTCGACTGAGGAACGAAAGACATGGACATCTTGGATGACACGGGGGTGAGTAAATTACCAGCAAAAGTTTTTTCAAAAGTGAACTACTCCTTTAATGGAAAAATATCTTTCACACACACACACACACACACTCACCTTGAAGAACAGGTAGAGGCCGAAGAGAGTGCAGCTGGCGATGATGGGGAAGCGAGCGGCGTCTCTGCTCGTGATGGTCTCGGGCATATCTGAAGCATTCTGACACACACACATGGTTAAGGTCACTCAATATATACATAATGTACTTTTGTGAAACAAATCTTGTGCATATCATTTCATTTTTCTCATTTCCTCAAATGTGTATCGACTGAGCGTGGCGAGAGCAGTGATCAGACAGACGGATATCAGGTTCACACTCGCGTACGGATCTGCTGCTTTTAAATGAAAATAAGATGATGAAGACACACCAAAAGTACTTTATAATTCCATTCCAAAGACATGTTTATCATCTTCTTTACTTTAAGACAGTCATGCTTATATATACTTTTAGAAATATGAGAATCACAGAACTCATAGAGAGATCCCACTGACAGAGTGTTAGGGAATATGCACATAAACATGAGCTCAGCACAGGCCGCCCACACTCAGATGGACTATGGGATGATGATGATGATCATGCTCGACCTCCAGCATGGCTTGTGCGACACATCCCAGTAGTAGTCTAATATTAGCCGCTCACACACACACACACTAACCTAGATAAATGTGTGCTATTATTAGGCACATGTCTAATTGATATTTTAAAGGCCCTTTATTATGGTTCAGTTCTTCTCTGTAATGTTCTCTCAAAACATTTTCCAATGCCACTCCCCCAGTAGGGCTATACTGCACATTTAAGAAACTAAATTAATATTCTTCAGCAAGAACCAATGAGGTTCATTCCCGTGTTACGCATCACGCTTGAGCTTCAGCAAAGCCCTGCATACAATATACAATATTACAATATAACATATGTGTGTGTAGTGTGTATAATTAATTTGTATATCTAAATACACACACATGCATGTATATATTTAAGATGTGCATGTATATATTTTATATATATTTATTCACAATTAATATTATATATAAATATAAATATTTGATATTAATAACACATTTTTCTTAAATATATACATGCATGTGTGTGTATTTATATATACAAATTAATTATACACACTACACACACATATATTATGTAAACACAAACTTTTATTTTGGATGCGATTAATCGTTGCCCATCCCTAGTAGGTTTATAAATTATTTACCTTACAAATCTTTAGAAATGCAATCATCCAGAGATGGAGTTTGAGACGCGCTCCACGCATGTAAATGACAACAGTGAAACGCCATTAAACAAAAAACGCAGACTCTATATGCTTCACCAAATGGATGTTTGTGTAAAAATGACACACATAACCTGTCCTGCACACATGTAATTCATTTAAGAGCATATATAGGCTATTAAACTCACGGAGCAAATATTTGTTTAATATAATCGCAGTCTTTGAGAATTCACAATAACACTGCTTTGATGTATGATTTTTTAATGGTTTTAATATCATGCAGCCAGAAAGTGCAGTAATAATGTGGTTTATAGATTCTCGTCAATGGAATAATACGCCACTTCCGGTATTTTCCGCTAATCGACACGGGTAAATTACTCAAGAATTTTTTACTTGAATTTAAAAGGAATAATAACAGCCCTAGATCAGATACACACCAAAATTGAATGCGTCTAGTCAAGTATTCAGTTAAACAGTATTTATTTAAGAAAGATAACACGTTGTGTAACAGTGTATTTGATCAGTGCATGAGCTCTTAAAGTGACAGCAGTCTAATATTCCTGCTGTCGGTCATGTTAATCAAAGAACAATGGGCTATATGCACGCATAAGTTCCGCATTTGACGTAAGGATGCTCGTCCATTTCCGGTTGTGTAGATTAAAGCGGAGGAAAACCGGAGAAAACGGGATTATGGCAGAGTCTTCAATATTTACTGTCCTCCCGTCTTTAAAACGAAACGTACATACGTTTAGATGTAACTTATATACAGTTAAGTTTATTTAATATAATTTTAAAAAGAAGCATAAACACAACGAGGGGTGTCTGTTTTATCTGTTTTTGTGACTAACGTTTCATTAGTATAACCATGGAGTATAAAATTCAATAAATTCTCGGTATTGCATTGGACTCTACGATCGGCGGAAGTTATCGAGCATCCTTAATCCTTCACCGGAAATAACGCCGTGCATAGAGCCCATAGAAAGAAAAATCACGATCTGCTCTTGACTTGAACTTTTGCAACTAATTTTAAGCATTAATCTGTATTTATTTTTACCAATGAATACTATCCAGTTTTCATTTACATTTGATTACTCAATTTCTGTAGTATTTTCTAACCTGAATCCTGTATATGCCAGTAGTACCCACCGGAAAGAGTTAAACCTGTGTTTATTTCATATTTCTCTCTATGCTATAGAAGGGGGATCAGAATAATCATACAGGTTTGGATGAAACGACATAATTACACTGTCAACCTGGCCAGTAAAAAAACAAAATGCCCAGTAACTGAGCACACATTAAAGGCATCAGTGGATTATGAACGTGAAACTGGGAGACATATGGCAGTATAACAGGCCTGCAGATCACCAGCATCAGCTCTGACTCCTCAGATGACTCGGACTGAACTCATGTCTCAGGTCGATAGTGTACAGATTTAATCCTGTAGTTTCTCCACTGCCTGTCTCCAGACATCATTAGACGGGGATAGGGTCTCAGTAACGTTACCTTGCCTTTGGAGCAGCCCACGGAGCGCAGGGCCCCGAAGAAGATGGGCAGCAGGGCCATGAGCAGCAGACTCCCGTACGCCAGAGCTGTGCCCTCGGCGCTGGACACGAACCGGCCCGCGGTCCCGTTCACCGCGTCAGACGCGTTACTGGACCCGTCCGGCCCCGGCGCGCTCTGCTCCACATCAGCCATGATCTGCGCCTTCAGAGACCCTAGATTATATCAGTCCGCGCTGAGAGTAGACGACTGAGTGTGTGTATGCCTCACAGCTGAGTGTGTTTCTCATTGAGATCCGCTCGACTCGCTAAGGCCACGTTTCCTAACTGAGCCCCGGGTGAAGTGTCTGCGTTCTTCTCCGTTCACTTACATACACACTCACTCACAAACACTCTCACACACACTGACGAGCGCACTGACACCCGGTGGAGCGGAGGAGGAAGTGCTGCTGCGGCGTCATTCTCGCTCCAGTGCGCTTCTCTCCTGAGTCTGTTGCCTTGTCCAAATACACACACTTTTCACTATGCACTTGACCACTTGCATGACGTATTTCTCGCAAGTGTTCAAGACTGGTGTGTGTAAAACTTTTGATTACTCGAGTCGATGGGACACACACATAGCTAAAAAATGCAAGTGTTTACACTCGAATACCGATGGGTTTAGTGTGCATTAAGGGCACTGTACTGCGGCACAGTCTTGCACACGCCAAATGGTTCACATTTCGGGACATTCTAAAACGCTTAACGTGAAAAACGCTTAACGTGGCTTACTGTACTAACTAAGACAGTGATATTAAAAGACCAAATTCAGTACACATCATATTAATAAACCATACTATGTATAAAAAAATAAGATGAGCCCAAGATATCAACACAACGCGATTAATAACACGTTAAGCATTTTCTTCCCATAGAAAACCGTTATGAGAAAACGCTTAACGTGGCTTACTGTACCAAGACAGTGATATTAAAAGACCAAATTCAGTACACATCATGTGTCATGGCTACAAAATATGACTTATCCACATTTTATCATCCACATAAAATGTAGCCTATAGTCTATCACTTCTCTATCACACTTCTACGTTCAAAAAGCTTAAGCAAATAGCAGCCCCCAATCTTGTTATTATGCGAATCGTTTTAACAAATTAAGATCTCGTTATTAAGAGAAAATAATATATATATAAAAGGCATTCAACAGACCAATACAAAATAAACGAAGCAGTCGGACATGGGAGTCGAACCACTGTCACTAAGAGCAAAAAACGACACTGTATGCTGGCACTCAGACCACTGCCCTACTCAAGATGTTAAATTTATTGGGTAATCTAATGTATTTCACAGACATGAATGTAAACAGAGGCTAAAATCATACTATATCTACATACGATAAAGGAAATTTCCTTTATCGTGCTTTTTACAAAGCGATAGCCTACACCAACGAAGAAATAAAAATATGACGGGATAACATTCCAAAAACAGAACCTTAAAGACGGATCGCTATTCAGATCGACAATCTACTGCATATGTCTTTCCACCAAACGTCACTTCATTAGATGGGCTGAACTTTGAAGAAAAGGGTGGGGCTGATTATAATATTATACAAAACGCCGTCTTTGTCAGACAGAAGCGCCGCAATTGACGGCGCACTGTGGATGGCCTGCGGCGTCAGAAACGGCGTCATTGGCTGGATTAAAAAACGGCGAAAATGACGGCGAATTTGCTTTGTAAACGCCGTAATTTACGCCGTTTGTACCACAATACGCCGTAATTTGCGGCGTCTTTTCGTCTTAAACGCCGTAAACACCGGCGTTTTGAGAATGAAACGCGTTTGGAAAGTGGCGAAATGTGAACCATTTGGCTTTCCATAGCCCCGGGCGAGTGCCCGCCCGGTTCGCCCGTGCCTAGAACCGCTACTGTGGGTAGGGATTATTTAAATGAGGAATGTATATTGTTCCTGGAAGAAACCTCAAGACTGGAGGCATTTTATGGGGTTCGGAAACACTGATATAGAGAATAACTCCTGCTGGAGGGACTTTGAGCTTTTTTATGCTCAAACAACAACATTACACACTAAAGACAGATGAACATGTAAAAAGAAGCAAAATAGGACCCCTGTTGTTAATGCCATTTCATTTCTCAGATCAGAAACGCATTCTCTCTTATTGTCTTGACCTCTGGCTGATGACGTTGATGCTCTATTGCGTGTGTGTGTGTGTGTAGTGGGCTCTGTGTTCAGGAGCTCTCTCCTCCTGTTTCCATGGAGACCAATGGAGACCAATCAGCGTCCGTGGCTGCGGACTGTACTAAAGCCTGCAGATAGAGAAGGCAGAGCATGTCTTACACACGAAGAAATCGCACATGTGTGCATCCCTATCCACACATACCAAATCAGCATTTGTAATTCTGTCCTGTTCTACGTCGTGTCACCGCGCGCTCCCCGTATCCCCGCATCGTCTTGCTGCGGGCTGCTGCTGATGCGCGTGTGACGTCACGGGCTACGAACGCAGCTCCACCTGAATGAGCGAGAGAGTACGCGCTCACGGCACACGAGCACACGCAGAGCCGCGGCCATGGCGCACAGACTCAGCATGATGTGAGTAAATCATTACATCCGCATGTGTTTTACCACAGTGCACCTGTGTTGACGCGCAGAGTCGTGTGTTTTATGTTGATGCTTAGTGATGGGCTTGCAAATGTGTGTGTGTTTATATGATGATGGGACTGTAATGATGGCGAAGCCTGCAGTTGTGGTCATGAAGTGAGCAGGATAATGTGCTGTTGTTGCAGTGAATGACAGTAATAGGACTTAGGTGTTTTCAAGCGTCATGCAAAACACGAGGTGTGTGTGTGTGTGTGTGTGTGTTTGGATCTGCTGATGATGTGCATTATGACGCAATTTGAGTCACATGCTTCTAGCACAATGTGCTGCTATAAACTGTGAGGTATGATGCATTTATCCTTCATGTGCAGGACTCAGTCTGACCATCCGTCCTGTTTATAATTGCAGACATTTTAAAGCATTATATCTTTCTTTTTGCTGTTTATTTGTATGCTCTTGCTCTTTTATAAAGCGTTACCGAATACAAGCATCTGAAGAGTGAGTGCATTTGTGTGTGTTTGACCCTCTCAAGGTGACCGAGGTGAAACTGAAGCACACATTAGCACTAGTTCATGGTCTTGAGGGAATTTACACTCAGTTCAAGGTGATTTACTGCTGTCCTGCTGCTTCTGCTTTACTGCTGGATATTTATTGTTTTTGTTGATGTTGTTGCTGCAATAAGCATGCAGTATCTGAAGTGTGCACTGATAAGTGTTTCCTTTAGTAGTATGCTTCATTATATGATCTCCTCATATTTGTAATTCAGCCAGTGGCATCCAGTTATCGTTATAATCAGAAAGATATGTATTTTGTTATTTTGTGTACATGCACTTGTTGGGCTACACAATTTGGTCAAAATGTCAATATGGCTATGGTAAAAATAAGATTAATTATTGTAAATAATGAATTAAATTTTATTGTAATATTTCACTGTAAAATAATCATTTATTTGTGTTTGCATCCAGCCATATCACGATGTCAGTTGTATCCCGGTTACACTTGCAGCCCTGCTTCTGTATGATTCACTGAAGGACTCAACGTGATGGTGAAATGGCTAACAGTTAAAACCAGTGTCACACACAGTGACCAAACCATAACATTTCACCGTGAGTTTAAAGACCCCATGAAACCACTAAAGGTGCTCCGTTCTGCCCTGTGGGGACATGCTACCTCTGGACTGCTGGGACAACAAGCAATGCTCTGCTGAAAAGCCCAGCATGAATTGCATGTCAGTCCAGGTTTGAGGTGGTTTAATGCTGGTCTAGCTGCTAGTCATGCTGTTCTCAATCAAAACTGTGAATTTAAAGAACCAAAATAGAGCCATTTACTTTACTAAAGAAAAAGACCTCTGTTTTGTCCTCATTTAACTTTAAATGTTACGTCATCAAATTTTTTTTATATCTTTTAGAAACGCGAATAATGAGTTGGTAGAATGCCTTAATGGATCAAAACTGATCTGGTATAGCTGGTCCACTCCTGCAAACCAGCGTCCCATGCAGCTCCCAGCATGCAACACGCATCTAATGCTTTTTCAACAGGGTACCCTTTGTTTTATGTTATATTAGCCACATTGTTTGTGAGGTAGCTGCAAAATACATGAACGTTATTTGCCTCCTGATATTTCTAGCTTGAAGTAGTTGGCCAAGATGATATCATGAATATTTTTGTATGTTGTTTAAATCTGCTGGGGGGGAAAAAAGACACTGGAACATTTGTGCACGTTCCCTGTTACGTCCATGTAAGCATTGCCTGCAGTGAGTAAAGCAGTGACGCTGTGTGTGTGTGTGTGACGGCAGTCTGGTGCAGAGTTACATAAAGACCTGAGCACTCATGTGGAGAATCTCCACATTTATTCATCGATGTCAGACACATTTCTGAGCATGAAACCGTTTCAAAAGGCTGAGAGCAATTTGTAGAGTTACAAAAGTGCACCTTAATTCCCCTAACAGCAAACCATTGTATATTGCGCTGTCTCAGAATGAATGTGTATCTGAATCCTCATAGCTGCGCAGTGCTCAGGGTAACGCAGGACATCAGGAAGTGTGTTTGTAGTGTTGAGCCGATGGCGGCGGGTGTCTGACGTGTTTGTTTCTCCTTGTGTCGTAGGTATGTAAATGCTTTGCACCAGTACTGCTGTCCTGCGCCGTGTGGCTCTAAGCCGCTAGCTGTACCTGAGTGCAGGTAAGAGGCGCTCTAGGCCAAACCTGACAGCTCATCACACGCAACTGCGCTCGAGAAACCTCACGCCACGCTCTTTCACCAGCAGTGTCATTAAAGGCATTTCATCAACTTGTTTCATATTGTGGTGCGTTCACGCCATGTTTTAATTAGCGTGAATTCGAGATGTCAACACATGGCATTCGTGAACCCACCCTAATTTTAAAGCTTTTGAATGTTATAATACAACTTTTCAACAATAATAATTTTGGCTAGCTTGATCTTAGATCTTAGATCAAATCTATTCCATTATACATTCTTGTTGAAGAGCTTTACGTAAATCTTTGCTAAAGTTCAACACCTTTGCTGTTAGTTCAAATGAAGGATATTTGTAGTGTCAGGACAATATTTTGAAATGTGATGTGCGTTTAGTAGCCTGTACTGTAATTCCAGTTCATGAGAATGATTTGTGTTTGTTTCCATTATATCAAACAAGGTCAGGTGATGAATGATTGAATGATTTCTATGATTTCAGTTTTAACGTTGATTGACTGCACAGAACTAGCGGCGCCAGGATTTTAATTGTAGATGGGCCTCCAGGAAACTGGATAGGCCAGTA